CATGTGATGACATTGAGGTGGTATATCTATACTGTGGGACATGTGATGACCAGATGGTATATCTATACTGTGGGACATGTGATGACATTGAGATGGTATATCTATACTGTGTGACATGTGATGACATAGAGGTGGTATATCTATACTGTGGGACATGTGATAACATTGAGATGGTATATCTATACTGTGTGACATGTGATGACATAGAGGTGGTATATCTGTACTGTGGGACATGTGATGACATTGAGGTGGTATATCTATACTGTGGGACATGTGATGACGTAGAGGTGGTATATCTATACTGTGGGCAAGTGATGACATTGAGGTGGTATATCTATACTGTGGGACATGTGTTGACATAGAGGTGGTATATCTATACTGTGGTACCTGTGATGACCAGGTGGTATATCTATACTGTGGGACATGTGATGACATTGAGATGGTATATCTATATGGTGTGACATGTGATGACATAGAGGTGGTATATCTGTACTGTGGGACATGTGATGACATAGAGGTGGTATATCTATACTGTGGGACATGTGATGACGTAGAGGTGGTATATCTATACTGTGGGCGAGTGATGACATAGAGGTGGTAAATCTATACTGTGTGACATGTGATGACCAGGTGGTATATCTATACTGTAGGACATGTGATGACATTGAGGTGGTATATCTATACTGTGGGACATGTGATGACCAGATGGTATATCTATACTGTGGGACATGTGATGACATTGAGATGGTATATCTATACTGTGTGACATGTGATGACATAGAGGTGGTATATCTATACTGTGGGACATGTGATAACATTGAGATGGTATATCTATACTGTGTGACATGTGATGACATAGAGGTGGTATATCTGTACTGTGTGACATGTGATGACATAGAGGTGGTATATCTATACTGTAGGACCTGTGATGACATAGAGGTGGTATATCTATACTGTGGGACATGTGATGACATTGAGGTGGTATATCTATACTGTGGGACCTATGATGACCAGGTGGTATATCTATACTGTGTGACATGTATTGACCTTTTAGATATATGATGACGTTGAGGTAGCATATCTCTTACAGAACATGTTATATTGAGTTGGTCTCTGGGAGACCTCAACATGTGATGACTTTGCAATATCTAAATACTTACTTAGTTGAAACACAGAAAATAAGATTAATAATCATTTACAAAGCAGAAATCCGACACATCACAACAGGAAAATCTGTATCCCTTCTGTGCATTGATTACACATTTTCCCCACAAATTTTGGAAAATGACTATTTGATCTTATTATAGGAAGCGACTGATCATTTGAGAAGAAAATTTCAAAGAAGTCAATTTTATATTTTGGGAATTTGGCCAATTTATTAATGAAATAAATTCCAATTTGAAATGGAGTCATATACAAATCCACAGAACACACTACATGTGTTAACTGCAAAATGACTGCATGGTCAACAGTATACTGAATAAGTTTGAAGTAGAAATTGTTAATATTTCTTATGACCGATTTGGTTTTGATATACACGTACAATAAGTGCAATGAATGTGTGTGTTCTAGCTAGGTCCAGTATTTGTCCTGTGACAATACAAGTGTTACGCTATACACATATACCCTGTTATAGTGCCTCTCTCAGTATGGTTTGCATGCCAGGTTTGATAATGTTTTCGTAACGTCTGAAAGTAAGAAATTTTCAAGTTGTTTACTTAAGATTTTTAAGTAGACTGTTTTCTGTTTAACGATGATCTGTTGAGGTGATCATACGTAGATAATGATAAGTATATATAGAGGACATGGTCAACATACCACTGTTAAATTGACAACATTTCTTGATCATTAGCGTCAAAAATTTCAACAAGAGTAAAGGAAAAGTTTTATCTTTAAATATGTACCGTGTATAAACAACCAGGAATAAGTTATTCTAAAAGTTCAGTTCACACAAGATTTTTATGTATCCATGTTCAAACTTGTTGATCATTAAAAATACATTTGCATGCATTGGGCTTTAGTTAATGGTTCTTAAAGTGTGGTACAGTGACAGTTACGACAAATTAGTAAATAACATATCTTACACAACATATTATATGTATATTGTTACGTAGGTGTCTTAAATATTCAATAATTCATGAATGGATACCTTTAAATTTGTGTTAGCGGAGACTCGCAGTGATCCTATACTTAGTCAAGTTTATTTAGCGTCCAGTGGCACTTAAAAATCCAATCAGTCAAAAATCTTTTAAAGACCAGTTACTCTGTATGTTTGTTCCTGGGTAAATTTCCCATGTTTGTGAGCTAGTGTAAACTGTCAGTATCTATAATCCTGTGTGTATCATGCCGTGATACACGGTCTGTTGTCTGGAATTATGCTCCAATGGACTGAATGTATGGATAACATCGAAGGTCACCATAAAATTTTTAAATTAGGATATATTGATATACACTTGTAATGTCAAAACTGATAAATAACTTGGTTTTGTGTAGGATCAGGTTCGGATAACTCTGTTCACCTGACTGTGGACAGGTTATACCGGGTTGAATTTAGAGATTGCGTGTATTTTGTGCTTAAGTTCTAATTCTGAACTGAGTAACACCAATTTTGATTGAATTATTACATGCAGCTAAAGTGATTTAGAACGTGAATCACTCATGATAATCTGTTTAATCACCACCTCCCAGCAGGAGATGATCCTTACATCTAATGTATATCTAATCTATATATCTCCACTGGTGTCACATGTCGTTTTACTCTTGAGATATAACAGAATACAGCTTGATGTTTCTAGTTCATGCAACAAAGAATGTTGCTTTATATCCAAAATTGAATGCAAGGTATTTATCGCCAAACTTTGATGTAAATTGAATTTTTTAAAAAAGGGCCGTAACTCAGTTTATTTTTGTGAATCAATCACTTCATTTCAGTACTAATATATGAACATTTATCAATTTTAGTTGACACAAATCATTAGATATATGATGGAAAACATGTCGTTTAGAAAACAAAGGGGCATAACTCTGTATAAAGTTGAGCAAGAAATACAATTTAATACATATTCTGCGAAACTACCTGAAAAGTTAGGGGTTGTAGCAGAAATTTTCAATATAAAGTAATTTAAAGGTGATAAATATTCTATGTCATGAACAAAACAATGGCAGTCTTCAAGGGCAGTAACTCTGGATAGTGTGAGGTATATAAGTATATACATGGAGAGAAAATGGGGAGGGGAAGGCGAGTGACACACAGATCATGAGTAATAAGCATTAGAACTTTCAATTTTTGATCTTCAAATCCATGTAATGAGAAAAATTTACAGGTTTTTTTTTCATGTACAAAAATGTGTGAAACCTATCATGTGACACTCGCATGCAAAATTTGCCAATTATGGATGGAAATAGTAAGGGAATGTCAGAAATTTCAATTTCAGAAGTCAAATGTCGAATTTGACGAAAATGTTATAATTTCAAATTTTAATCTCAAAGTTGAAACAATGAATAAAATGCAATCCCTGGTATGTCATATAACAAGTGCAGTCCAATGGTTGTGCAACACTTTTCTGCTTCATCAGATTTTTGAGACAAAACATTGATCATCAGAACTTCATTGAGTTAACCTGGGTTATTGTTTTTGAAATCAATAAATCATTACTGTAAAATTGACATGAAACTTGTCAAAGAGGAATAATTATTCTGTCTTGATTTAGACACAAATCCAAGGTGAAGCATTCTTCACACTTTAGCACACAGTCAAGTCTCAATAGTGTTATATTGGCCTCTCATCACTCCTGGAGTCATTGATTCACTTGTCTAACCACTGTATGTTCCTGGTGTTTTATGCCCTGCTATAAAATCATAGCAGGGAAGCTATGAATCACTGCTTCAGTTTCTCATTATCCCTTTATGTCCTCTGTATCATTGATTTAAACAACAATTAATTTTACTCTGTCTGTTTGTATCTGACACTAAAGGCCATGTTTTTCCTTAAGTAAATTGACGGCTTCGTTTGAAATAGTAAATTTTTTTTTGTCCATGTTGTAATTAGTCAAAAGAAAATATTAGTTACTGAATTTTTTACAAATTATGTTTTTTTTCATTACCTTTAAACCAGTAAATCTAGTACAGACCTGCTATGTCAGTTAACTGTTGATTAACAATTTGAAAACTTGTATTTCCTGAACATTTCCAGTTCCAGGTAAATAATATTAACAATGAATGCATATATGGTTGCTGGCCTTTCATACTATTAATGTAAATAAATTTGATATATTTTTGTACAGGTGTTTTATTAACAGAAGTCTGATATAAATGTTATATTATAGTATTCACAATGGTGGATTGATTCAGTACAGCTTTGAAATGGAAACCGTGAGCCCCAGTTATATAGATCCCTTCAGTAGGAAATCTATACATGTATTGTCTCAAATGAGAATTCTTCTTAATACATGTACATCAAAATCAGTATATCTACAGCAAGTGCATATAGGTTTCCATATCTTTTTTTTAAACTGTCAGTATATCTACAGCAAGCACATATAGGTTTCCATATCTTTTTTTTTAACTGTCAGTATATCTACAGCAAGTGCATATATGTTTCCATATCTTTTTTTTAAACTGTCAGTATATCTACAACAAGTGCATATAGGTTTCCATATCTTTTTTTTAAACTGTCAGTATATCTACAGCAAGCACATATAGGTTTCCATATCTTTTTTTTTTAAACTGTCAGTATATCTACAGCAAGCACATATAGGTTTCCATATCTTTTTTTTAAACTTTAAGTATATCTACAGCAAGCACATATAAGTTTCCATATCTTTTTTTTTAAACTTTCAGATGTGAAAGCGGATGTGATGGGAGGAGACCTGAAATAACTATGGTTGCTTGTCACAGATCTAAAGCATGTATTTCCTCAGAGATTCAGTGAACTGATTCAGATAAGAATTCCTGGTGAACACTATACACTCACTGTTAATTAGCAATAATCAATCAAGACAATGTTTTCATCACCCTCCAAGATAAAGGTATGTATTATTAATTGAGTGATGGCTATATAGCTTGTTTACCATTTTGAAATGTCTCTTTTCTTTCAATTTGTATCAAATGAACATTTTGTTTTTTATTTTCCAAATCCTTTTATTTTTTCAATGATCTTGAAAGTATCTTAAGAATTTTTCAACAGTACCAAAAGTCCAGGTCATCATGTGAGAGGTTAAGGTTGTTGGTTTCTTGTAAATGGTAGACATTTATTTATGAAGTAAACTTTGTTAGAGTCAAATTAGAATTTACCCGACCAAAGGAATATGTCAAAATCAAAAGCTTGGTGATACCTACAGGATCCTGGATGGTACATCCATTTATTGGGGAAAATGTCAACATTTTCAAAACAGACATCTCACCATAGAGATCGGTAAACTTTGGTGTCTGAAATTAAATTAACTGGAAACCTAGAGGAAATGGTTAAAAAATTTATTTATTTTAAAATCATCAATAAAATTGATAGAATGAATATGTTTTGTGGGCCTTGAGGAAATAAACTTGAACATTGCAGAGTAGAGATGAGCTTGGCTATACTTGATTACTCTATGTTTTGATCATTTGAGGTCCCTCATGGTTCATTATATATAATTATAAACATAAGAGTTCAGTGTGGGTTCATTATAAAGTAGTATGTAGTTTTATGCTAGCTTTCGGTCAATTGATAGACTCATGGTATATATGTAAGGGCCTTTTGTATTCAAAATCAGCAATGCATTTTGATATTTTTGCACAGCAGAACGGACAAAAATAGTTACTTTAATGGAGTAATGCCAGGTGCTCACGGCAGACAGGTATAATATATAAATAATGAAATAATCCTTGAAATTTGAGCAGCACTATGAATTGTGTGAATATTTAATCAATATCGTTACTAGCAGTAGACTGATAGATTTTACACTGCTGTATATTTCATGAGCTAATTTATCGGTTTATTCTAAAGATATTGAATATCTGTGCAGCCTAGTCATAAAATTTGGTAATTTCATGCATACAATCTAAACCTGATTCTGGATAGCTCTGTTGCCAAATGTTTTTGTCGAGTAAGTAGGCACGCAGTATTGAAACTAAACTACTCAACACATTACTAGAGTCATGAAAATTTCATGTGTTAAATTCATAAATACTTAATTTTCGTAATTGTGTGAGTTTTATCAGCAAAAATAACAAAAGCTGACTGTCGCTTAATACACAATTTGTGACAATTGAAAAAGTCATGGGTTAACAAACCATCAGTGTACCAGCTTTGAATCGCATTCATATTGTTATGGTTGACACTCTGCTGTTATAAAGTATCATGTGTATTTTACTAATAAAGTGAATCAGGTTTCCTTTAAATCTATAAATAGCCTATCAATAAAATCTACAACTCTTTTGTTGTCCAGTCAAACTCAGTTCCTTTATCTTTGCCATCGATGGTGATAAAATCTCTTCCGGTGTTCACTTCACCATTTACTTTGTTCTTGTTCACTGATGAAGGCTTTGACTGTTTTCTCGTTCATTCTGTTTCAATCAACTGATCAATTTAGCATTGTGAGCACTATATCATATTTTTCAGCTGACATTTATTGGAAATGGCAAATAATTGTATTTCTGTGGGTATGTGTTCTGTGTGTTTGTCAGAACATTTAATTATCATACGACTGTAAACCATTGACTTTTTAAGGAAAGGTCAATAGATATATACAGGTTCCCAGTTGACAAAAACTAATATGAAATGTTGAAATTCAAACCTTTTGTGTAAAATATATTAATTTTCAGATGAAATTATATATATGGAAGCAATACGTGGGAAATTTTTGCTGTGAATTTCAGTGTTCAGAATGAAGGATTAAAAATGAGGGCTTGTTAAAATATCTACAGAGAAACTGATTTTAATTCATTTAAGATAAATATTATCTAATAACATGATACATGCTGAAATATCCTGACAGGAGTTTCATTCTATTTCCTGTCACATTTTATCAAAATGACATAACTTCCTAAAGGATTTTTTATTTATTGGGATTTAAAAGAAAGCCTGACATTCATTGTACAATATATGTAACTACAAAGGCCCAATACCGACCATAGTGCTTTTACTGAATTTTGACTATCATATGGGACACATTTATACAGTTTATATATAATTATATACCACTTTAAACTTGTACACATTTGAATACTTTAATTGTTGAAAGTTCCATGTTTAATATTTTTATGGTACATGTCTTCCACTTTTAAATGTTGGTATGTTACACATTTGTTACATAGTTTGTGATATTCACAAGGGATTTGATTTCATTGTATCAATTTTGCAATCATTAAATATTTTGAGAATTAAATTCCCTGTGTACAAAATAATCTCAGAAAATGGTTGTTTCCTGTATGTATATTATACTAGAGTAATAGTGTTCATTTGAATATTTTTACTTCTATTTACCAGCGCCAGGAACCAGTGTTTAAAACACCTATGACATACAGCCCCAGGGTCCTTGGATCCAATGGAAAACCCATTCCATCCCCATCACGAGCAGAACTGTGGAGGCAGCAGCTAGGATTAAATGGTAGGTCAATGTTACTAATGATAAACTACAGGTGGAAATGATTTACTGCTATAAAGGTGTTAGAGTTATCTCCCCTACAATTTATATGTTGGCTATTCTGTGTCATATTTTAAATCTGTTTTGAAAGGTGCTTAGAGCACATATATGTCTTCTGTTCAATCCTGTATATTTACAGTTGTAATATTTAGAAAAGTTGACAGCTTTGCTGTTGTAATAAAGATATTACATGCTATTGTACCGTGCACACCCTTTCTGGAAGTAGACTGTTATCATGTACAAGTATTCATACAGAAAAGCACAAAGGGCACTGCAGTTTTTTTGGGCTTTTTTCTAAGATCGGAGATGAATTAATCTGCTTACATGTGTATAAATGTACTACTTTTTATTCAGATGATCCAAACAGTACAGATAATCAGTCTGATTCAGACTCTGACCAAGAAAATCTCAATCCATCAGGTAAGAGGCGATAACTCCTATATTGTGTAGATTAATTCACTGTATAAAGAGTCTGCTAAATCATGTAAAATAGGATTTGTCATTTAAATAACACAGTCATTTACATATAGTCTTTGTAACATCAAAGCATTATGTACAATAGAAGTGTATGCTATAGATTATTTCTCACAAGAAGGTTGCACCTTTTGGATTTGATCCCCAATAAATATAGATAAAGACTCACAGTGAATATCTCGATAAGCTACACTTATACCTATATACATAGAATAATGTTGTATATCCTGGATAAGCTACACCTATATACATAGAATAATGTTGTATATCCTGGATAAGCTAGTCCTATATACATAGAATAATGTTGTATATCCTGGATAAGCTAATAACGTATATTGGATACCTATATACATAGAATAATGTCGTATATCCTGGATAAGCTAGTCCTATATACATAGAATAATGTTGTATATCCTGGATAAGCTAGTCCTATATACATAGAATAATGTTGTATATCCTGGATAAGCTACACTTATACCTATATACATAGAATAATGTTGTATATCCTGGATAAGCTAGTCCTATATACATAGAATAATGTTGTATATCCTGGATAAGCTACCTATATACATAGAATAATATATCCTATAGCTACACCTATATACATAGAATAATGTCGTATATCCTGGATAAGCTAGTCCTATATACATAGAATAATGTAGTATATCCTGGATAAGCTACACCTATATACATAGAATAATGTTGTATATCCTGGATAAGCTACACCTATATACATAGAATAATGTTGTATATCCTGGATGGTCCTATATACATAGAATAATGTTGTATATCCTGGATAAGCTAGTCCTATATACATAGAATAATGTTGTATATCCTGGATAAGCTAGTCCTATATACATAGAATAATGTTGTATATCCTGGATAAGCTAGTCCTATATACATAGAATAATGTCGTATATACTATATACATAGAATAATGTTGTATATCCTGGATAAGCTACACCTATATACATAGAATAATGTTGTATATCCTGGATAAGCTAGTCCTATATACATAGAATAATGTTGTATATCCTGGATAAGCTACATCTATATACATAGAATCCTATATACTATATACATAGAATAATGTTGTATATCCTGGATAAGCTAGTCCTATATACATAGAATAATGTTGTATATCCTGGATAAGCTAGTCCTATATACATAGAATAATGTCGTATATCCTGGAGAAGCTACACCTATATACATAGAATAATGTAGTATATCCTGGATAAGCTACACCTATATACATAGAATAATGTTGTATATCCTGGATAAGCTAGTCCTATATACATAGAATAATGTTGTATATCCTGGATAAGCTACACCTATATACATAGAATAATGTTGTATATCCTGGATAAGCTACACCTATATACATAGAATAATGTTGTATATCCTGGATAAGCTAGTCCTATATACATAGAATAATGTTGTATATCCTGGATAAGCTACACCTATATACATACAATAATGTTGTATATCCTGGATAAGCTAGTCCTATATACATAGAATAATGTCGTATATCCTGGATAAGCTACACCTATATACATAGAATAATGTCGTATATCCTGGATAAGCTACACCTATATACATACAATAATGTTGTATATCCTGGATAAGCTACACCTATATACATAGAATAATGTTGTATATCCTGGATAAGCTACACCTATACACAGAATACATAGCATTATTTTGGATATCCCTGAATAGCTACTGGGGGCCTACACTTCATAGCAGTAGCACAATAATTTGAGCTTCAGTTTAGTACTGTCACAAGAAGGCTTTCGCAAACATGGCACATGTTGCAACCTCCCACAAACCGACACACTCCATGCATACATCACAAGCATAGAAAGACGACATGTCTTTAAACAACCATTGCTGTTGATAGGATGTCAAGCAATATAAAATCAATGTAAACCTGAATGACTTACACACATAAACCTATAGCTTCTATACATAACATCATGATATCTCTGATACCCTTATATGGTAAATAAGTGTACTTATATGTGATTAACTACTGAGGTTTGGTTAAAAATTAATTTCTGTCTTTTTTCATTTTTGTGTAAACTGCATTTTTTACCAGATATTTTTTAAGACACACATTATCTGTCAGAATGCAGTTTACATACCAGTAAACAACAAAAAAAGATTTTTTTTCCTATATTTACATTTTGACAGTTACTTTGCACTGCTTTAAAAATAATATTTGTCGTTTGGATGGCAGTGTATGTACCAGCAGAACAGCCTGACCACTGATAGAATATAGCTGATTCCATGGCTAGAAAAACTGTCAGCCTTGATGTTTATTGAAGTGTAAACATTAATTTTGTTGGTAATTAGGCCAATTAGAAAACACTCACTGGAAATGTAAATATGAAATGGTAAAGAAATTATGATACTGTATTTGTTCTAATAATCACTGAGGTTGTAAATAGAACAGGTCAGAGTGGGCGATTATAAAAGAGACCAGATTATTATAAGAACAAATACAGTAGCATTCTCCCTGTGCTGTTCGATATGTTTCATCTGTTCACAGGACTGCTTCAGGGTTATATTGTACCTACATATTAGCTCTTTGTTGTACTTGGTGTTGGTAAATTGGTTTCGGTGAGGATGAGCTTAAGGAAACATATGATAATTATAGGGTAGTGAGATAATAGAGATACTGGTGTTGAGAGGCCGATACTGGTGATTGCTGTACAAGACACCACAAATATCCTAATCATGGTCTATGTGTCTGTCTGAAAACCGTCAGATGCTGGCCCAATCAATGTAAGATATATTTCTCCAGACGAGGATTTAGCTCCTCCAAGGGTAGATAACCCATACCTGTCAGTCCTTCTTATATTGTATGTAGGCTGTACAGCTTATGTATGCACTTTTGTGATGGCTGAAAACTTTTTTTTACGACACAACCAATAATGTAATGGCTTCAAAATACAAAATCAATTGACTACATATCTGAATTTATCAGGTAAGATATCCATCTCTCATTATACAGCATGTATACATGACAGAGTGGAACAGATAGTTTGTGTACTTTTAATATAATTGTACTTTAGGGTTCTGAGTTAAGGAAACATCCGCCTACAATGTCCACTTGTAGGGCTTACCTTTTATCGTTGATTTCAACAGGTGTGATATAATTCTCTGTTTATTGTACAACCACCCACCCCCTCAAACCTCTTTGTAATTTAATATATTTTCATGAAACAGAGAGTTCATACAAAAACAAAACAAAATCACTTACAAATATAAGGAGCGTCTTTTTAGATGTCTTTCAGACAAGCTTGAAATACTTTGTTATTAAGAAAAATTGTTTATCTAGTTTTGTCTGGTATTTATCAGTTACGAGAGAAATGGTGATGACTCCAAAGTAAACTGTTAATTGAATTGTTGGACTGATAATGTTGTTTAGTGCTAGGTTATCTTGGCCTTGGTAAAGGTACAGTATATCATGTGTTAAAGTCATAAAAATTGCCAGACTAATTTCCATCAATCATAATACAGCTGACAATTCCTTGCAATTTTTTGACAGAAATTGGGTTCTATTTATAGATATTGAACTACCAACACAAAGTAACTTGCCTATATACATTAGTCCAATCTTCTCAAGAGACCACCCCTCTCAGACAGACAGAGTCATTTTCTTATCTCTCCACAGGCTCCTTTGTCTCATCCTTACTAAGTGTTCTATCAATGTTCTATAAGCGACCATGCTACTCCTGATAGGAGACAACTGTGGGATCTTCCGTTGGATATGATATCTTGTAGTCCACAATATTGACTACAAATTTTCTGTATCTGCTGGTCAAGACTTCTTTTTTATGTCCCGCCATTGGGGTGGTGGTGGTGGTGAGATATAGTGTTATCCATGTAAGTCTGTCCATCTGTCCTGTCCTATCCTGATATGTCCAGTCATGGGGGTGGTGGTGGTGGTGGTGGTGGTGGTGGTGGTGGTGGTGGTGAGATATAGTGTTATTCGTGTAAGTCCGTCCATCTGTCCTGTCCTATCCTGATATGTCCAGTCATGGTGATTGTGGTGGTGGTGGTCGTGGTGGTGAGATATAGTGTTATCCATGTAAGTCCGTCCATCTGTCCTGTCCTATCCTGATATGTCCAGTCATGGAGGTGGTGGTCGTGGTGGTGAGATATAGTGTTATCCATGTAAGTCTGTCAATCTGTCCTGTCCTATCCTGATATGTCCAGTCATGGGGGTGGTGGTCGTGGTGGTGAGATGTAGTGTTATCCATGTAAGTCCGTCCATCTGTCCTGTCCTATCCTGATATGTCCAGTCATGCAGATTCAATATCAATGTTATCTTTCAAGGTTCTCTCTAAAAATTTAGTTCATGTTTACCCTCTAGTATCATAACATCATGTTCTAAACCTACTTTATGGTTGTCATCAGTCAAGGTTAAAAGGAGTCAAAGGTCACATTTGGTAACATCTGCAAATTCATTAAAAATGATATTTGGATGCTTGGGAAGGTAGGCATTTATGTGTTGCAGACATTTTTATTCCCAGTTTTTCCTAATTTTGATGATTTGGAACAAGTTTTATATTTCTTTTATGACTAAGTTATATCTGGTTTTGATGGCTTTGGGACAAGTTTGAGTGCCAGTGGAAAGGGGTATCATGTGGCCTTGGTATAATTACCATTTCACTCATGGTATTTGTGTTCACAAGAGAAGATGTGAAGACTTTTATGCGACATTTATGCACTGGTGTTGCATAAGAGATAGTGTTGTCATGGATACTGCTGTCATCTTTTCCCCCGTTCTCTGTGATAGAACGTTACAGCTCCATTTGCCCAGTACTTCCTCAATATCATTGGTAACCTCTTGTATATTGCCTGGCGATGTTTTTTTTTCTGCTATGTATGGGAAAACCTTCCAGACGTGGTGACATCAAAAGTGGAACTACCACACA